GGGGTCTGGAGGTACAGAAATTAAGGCCCTTCTCATTTTCTAGGATGTCTATACTCTGGGCAATGCATACAGAAGAGGGGTAGTGTCCTGCCTCCCCATCACAAGAATGCCAGTCCCTGGGATATCAGGAGGAACTTGCAAAGTGAATTCACAAACAATGTCAGATTTAATCCTCCTGACAGCCTTGGCAGGTGAGCACCAGCACTCCATCAGGGGTGGAGGCACGTGTCCTGGGGCACGTGTCCAGCGGTGTAAACCCCGGGGGTTCAGCAAAGCCACGTGGGGTCATGGGGTCGGCAAGCCATGCATTACTGTGCTGTGCTGTGCCCCTGGGATCTTGCCCAGAGTCAGGCCCACTGGTGGCGAGGGAGGTCAGAACCAGTGGCTCTGCTAAAGGCCAGCCACAGAGCACATCTGCATTTCATCTCTACTCTTTATGTTAAAAACTTGGCTGCTGTCTCCCATCACCTTGACTTGAAAGCATCACCACCATTCCTCAAAAGTGACAGGGCTTGCCAAAACCGGTTTGGCTCAGTGGATAAAGTGTCAGCCTGCGGACCAAAAGGTCCAGGGTTTGATTCCAGTCAAGGGCATGTGCCTTGGTTGCAGGCACATCCCCAGTAGGGGGTGTGCAAGAGGTGGCTGATCCGATGATTCTCATCGATGTTTCTAACTCTCTTCCTCTCTGTAAAAAAAAAAAAAAAAAAAAAAAGAAGAATATATATATATATATATATATATATATATATGTATATATATATATATATATATATATAATGACAGGGCTTACCCACTCCCAGGGCCTGGAACAGTGTGACCAGAGGCATTGAGTCTCCAAAGGCTGTAACAACAATCAGGGTGTGCTTCCAGGAAGCCCAGAGGTGGGCCTCCACCTCCTATGAGCCCTTTCCGGGACCAGCTAGGTGAGCAACCACAGAGCATCCTCATCTCTAGAAAGACAATTCCTATCCATGCCTTCCCATTTAGAGCTGATTCGGGGTGCCCCACATACATCTTGACATTTCACAGAAGTTGGAATTAGGTGCTCTAACTATGGGCATGCCGGATAAGGAAACTGAGATGGACAGTACAGAGCTCACCCTGCTGATGAAGTACCAGCGCCTGAATGTCCAATCAAGTCCTTCTGCTTTACCTCCCCCTTCCCCCAAGACTTGGGGTTCCCTGGGCCTAAGGAGTCTGGGGCAATTCTATCAGGTGTGGGGATGTGGGGGAGGGGTGTCATACTCTTGGTCACAGGGTCTGAGGCAGCATTCTCATGGCCTCAGTTCTTTGCTCCAAAACAGTGAAAACATCTGGAATTCCCATTTCAGTGCAACACACACCCCCTACCCCTTGGTAGTACACAATCCCCAAGGCAGAGACGCAGCCCCCTGCAAAGAGATTCTAGATGGCTCTGCCTTCTTTGGGGGACAAGGTGGAGAGGACGGTGTGGGGCAGGGATGCTGGTGGGGAACATATGTATTTGCTCCAGTCGGAGGAAGAGCATGCCTGGGTTTCTTGCAGTGCTTTGCAAACATGTAAGGAAGTGAGCTTAGGATACAGGAGCTGGGAGAGTGAGCAGGGAATTTTGGCTCAGAGCTGGAGCAGGGAGAATAGGGACAAATGTCTCAGTGGCTTTTGCCGGAAGGATCCCAGCGCAGACTCTCTTTTCTCCTGGGCGGAAGCCAATGCATAGGGCTGCTATAATGCATGGCTTCACTGGTTGGTGCTTCTATTTGAGCGAGTGTTTCAAGGTGTGGTGTGTGTGTGTGTGTGTGTGTGTGTGTGTGTGTGTGTGTTGATGGTGGAGGTGGAGGTGGAGGTGGAGGTGGAGGTGGAGGTGGAGCTGGCAGGGTTGATGGTGGTGGTGATGGGAATAGGCTCTGGCCTTGAAATCCAAGGTAATAGGGGTCTCTGTGCAGATGCAAAGCCAGTACCCCAGAAAGGAAACAGAACACGTGCTGGCTACCTGAAGACTTTCCTTGCTCCTAGGTACAGATCAGGAAGCTGAGGGCGACAGAGGAAGAGGGTCTTGTTCAAGGTTACAGCACAACATAGGGGTGGAGCCAGAACGGTGGACCTATATGTGTGGGCACTTAAGAGTCTGGGGTGAAAGAGAGCTCAGAGCCCAGGGCTCAGCCTAATATGAGAGAAAACACACTCAGATGCTTCCATGTTGTTGACTCTCCCTCCCCTCCCTTCTCCCCCCTCCCCCCATTTCACTAGAGAGGAGCTGGTGGGACACAGGAGGCCTTTCCTAGCCACCTCCTACCGCCCAGCATCTGGAGCTGGGAGCTGGGGCATCAGGAAGTGCCCCAATAGCCTATTTTGCAGGTGGTGAGTCTCCTGGTTGGAAAGCAGGTGGTGTGGTTCTGCCTCCTACCTTTCCCGAAAATGGGGAATTTGGAGACTCAGCTCCTTTCCTGGGGTGGTGGGTGAGAGGAGAGACCAGCGGTGTAAACCCCGGGGGTTCAGCAAAGCCACGTGGGGTCGCGGGGTCGGCAAGCCATGCATTACTGTGCTGTGCTGTGCGGGAGGGGCAGTGTGGGTCTGAGATTTACAGAGCTGATCTCTGTGGGCCTGATTCAGCGCTGTACCCTTCAAACTCCCCGTTTTAAAAGAGAAAACTGTGGCATGGAAGAGAGATGATTCACCTGGGGGGCCACAGGTCTGCACTTCCCATCCCTACCACGTTTTTCTGACAGTGCTCTTAGCCAGCCATAGGTGCCAAGGGCGGCCCCCTGAGAACACCCCCCCCCTCCCGCGGGTCCCTCCCCAGCTCCGCAAAGGGAAATCCCAGGAGACGTCATCATGGATCAGATAATTCACCGCAACCATCCTGGCGCCCAAGCCTCTCATCCACTGGCCGGTTGCCCTCTGCTTCTTTCCACCTGGACACGCGCCCCAGCCTCCTTCCCCGGCCTCCACCTGAGCCCTGGGAAGATGGGGCCCGTGACTCTCGATCCGCTTTCCCCGCAGCTGGGCCGGGCTGAGGCCGGGAGCGCCAGGGCCGGGGCCCAGGAAGGCGCCCGGGCGAGCGCCGTCCAAGCGGCTGAGCCGCGGCGGCAGGCGCCTCCCCCTCCCTCAGGCGCCAGCACGCGGCCCGCCGGGCTCGGCTCCCAGACGCCTGCCACCGGCCGCCGGGCACACGCCTGAGGCGGGCTGGAGGCCGAGCCAAGGCCGCCGAGGTGGCTGCGGCAGCTCCCAACAACCAGGGAAGCTCCTCTGGCCCTTCAAAGGCCATCATCATCTCCCCTCAGCCCCCCACCACCCCCCACCCCAGATCCAGCCCCTACTGTCCTGGAGAACTCTCTGCCTTAGGCACCCGCCCTCCCCGCTATGGGATCATCGCAAATTATCCTTTGGGGGAGGGGGTGCTATAGGCAGCTGGAGTCCATCCTGGGGGGCTTTCCTGACTTAGACACCTACCTAAGGGCTCCGATCACCTCCCTCCTCCTGGGCACCCTCCACACCTGCTCAGGTGTGGGGAGCGCATGCCTGGGTGGGACATGAGAGACCCTCTAACCAACCTCTGTGGTTACAGACAGGAAAACTGAGGCTCAGAGAGGATGCCGTCGCCTCCCGAGGGCCATGGAGCCAGGGAAAGGACGCCCCGGGACTAGAACCAAAGAAGTCTTCGCAGTCTTTTTAGTTTCACAGTCCTGTCCTTCGGAAAGCGAGCCCCAGCTTTCTGAACTTTCATCGCAAATGTGCATACTCCTCCGAGAGCAGCAAAGACGCCAGAGAGAGAGAGAGAGAGAGAGAGAGAGAGAGAGAGAGAGAGAGAGAGAGAGAGAGAGAGAGAGAGAGAGAAAGAATATGACACTGGGTAGGAGGGGGGAAAAAACTGGAAACATGGAGCCCCGCGCCCCTCTAACCTCCACATCCCCGGTGCTGCTTTTTCTGCTTAAACCTTCCCCGGTGCTTTGCTCCAAGTTCTCAGCAGAATCCCAGGGCATGTCACCCCAAACCTGTCCACCCTTACACCCCAACTCCCAGAGCTATTTGCCCCTCTGGCGACGCCGGCCTACCCCTGCTCCCCCCCACCCCCCCCACCCCTGGAGCCACCCCTCCTTACCCCCCCACCCCGGGCCGCAGCCCGCCGCGGGCGCGCCGCCTGTTTGTTCAGCCGGGAGCCGGCACGCGCCAGGCGCACGCACTGCAACAACACACCCTGCTGAATGGGGAGTTTGCCGGGAGCGGCTCGGGGCGCGGGCGGGGGAGGAAGGCAGGGGAGGCGAGGGGGTGGGCGGGAGGAGGAGGGGAGAGGGGGGGGGAAGCGGGGGCTGCAGCCGCCCGCCGCAGCCGCGGGGAGCTGGGGGCGAGGCGGGGCCAGGGCTGCGCGTGGGGCCGGGTGTCCCATTGAAAAGGCGGCCGCCCTCCGGCCGCCCGGCACTCTCCCTTCTGGCCAGGGAGCGTGCAAGGCGCACCGACAGGCAGCCGGCCGGGAGGGCGAGGGAGAGAAGGCAGTGAGAAAGAAAGGAGGTGAACAAAATAATAATAATAAAAAAAAAAACAGCCTGAGCCACGGTTGCAGAGACCAGACCGGGACCCAGCGCAAGAGAGCGCAGCCCTAAGGCGCGAGGAACGGGAGGCTCAGCAGAGCGCGCTCATCGCTGACTTTTGCTTCTTCTGCTTTTTTTTTTTCTTTTTAAACAAGAAGGCGCTAGCTGCAGCCTCACACGCGAGCGCCACGCGAGGCTCCCGAAGCCAGCCCGCGGAGGGAGGAGGGGAAGGAGGAGCGGGAGCAGCGGAGGGGCGGAGGAACAGCCTCTGCACCTTCTTAGCTCCCATCCTCGATCTCCTGGGGATTTTGCAAAATTTTTTTTAAACTTCCCGGAGAGAGATCTCCCTCTTCATCCCCCTCCCTTGCCCCCACGCCCTCTCCCTCGCTGTCCGTGCACCCCGGTCCCTGTCTGTGTCTCCCCCGCGCGCCCCGCACCTCGCATCCCCGGGCTTTGCTCCCATCCCATCCCGCGCCTCCTTGGCAGCCGCAGCGCATGGAGAGCTCTGCCAAGATGGAGAGCGGCGCGGGCCAGCAGCCGCAGCCCCAGCCGCCCTTCCTGCCGCCCGCAGCCTGCTTCTTCGCCGCGGCGGTGGCTCAGGGAGCCCAGCAGCAGCAGCAGCCGCAGCCGCAGGCGCCGCAGCTGAGCCCGGCGGCCGGCGGCCAGCCGTCGGGGGGCGGCCACAAGCCGGCGCCCAGGCCGGCGAAGCGCCCGCGCTCGTCCTCGCCGGAGCTGATGCGCTGCAAGCGGCGGCTCAACTTCAGCGGCTTCGGCTACAGCCTGCCGCCGCAGCAGCCGGCCGCCGTGGCGCGCCGCAACGAGCGCGAGCGCAACCGCGTCAAGCTGGTCAACCTGGGCTTCGCCACGCTGCGCGAGCACGTCCCCAACGGCGCGGCCAACAAGAAGATGAGCAAGGTGGAGACGCTGCGCTCCGCCGTCGAGTACATCCGCGCGCTTCAGCAGCTGCTGGACGAGCACGACGCCGTGAGCGCCGCCTTCCAGGCCGGCGTCCTGTCGCCCACCATCTCCCCCAGCTACTCCCACGACATGAACTCCATGGCCGGCTCCCCGGTGTCGTCCTACTCGTCGGACGAGGGCTCCTACGACCCCCTGAGCCCGGAGGAGCAAGAGTTGCTCGATTTCACCAACTGGTTCTGATGGGGGCTCTGCCTGGACCAGGCCCTGGCGCAGAATGGACTTGGCGAAGCAGGTAGGTTGCATGGGGGGGGGGGGGCGTGGACGGGGGTGAGAGGAGGTTACTTATCCTTATCTCCATCCTTTTCTCTGCGTCTTAGTATCTGAGGGAGGTGGCGGGGCTGGGGGGCTGTCTCCACGGAGACGTTGGGGGGGGGAGGGGACGGAGTTCCAGGGTTTGCTAAAGTCAGTCGATTTGAAGTCCTGAGTGGTTTGTCTTCCTATTGGCCTCTGAGAGTGGCTTTTTGCCCAGGTCTCCAAGGACTGGAAAGGGGTGAGATGGAGAGGTGGAGAAAGGGGTACCAGGGCTTGTCCAAAGAGGCACTCTACGAGACAGAGTCTCCCCCATCCCTAAACCTGCACCCGCCCTCAGCCCCTCCCCCCCCCATGCTGGTCTCCAAATACACATTAACGTCTCCCTTTCTTCTCCTTATGTTATAGGGCGACTGCACAACCTGCATCTTTCGTGCTTACTCGTCAGTGATGCTGGAAGGGAGAAAAAAAATAAAATAAAAGCAGGCAACCAACCCCAACGCCAACCAAGCGACGCAGGCCTGCGAAGCAAGGCTCTCACAAAGCAGGGATGAGCTCAGAACTGTCTCGTTGCACTCCAGTCACTCACGGAGATTGGAAGAGTGACCAGGACCAGAGTCCATGTGCAAAACGCTGCGCATGTGCAAAGGCATGGAGCTCCTGGCGGAAGAGAGCAGAACGCGCCCCATAGAAATTCCCACCCACCACTAGCCAGCAGCGCAGGAGGAGCTGGCTCCCTGGGGTGTCTTCACCTCCCCGCCCTCTTTTGAAAGCTCAGTTCTTAACTCTCCAGCCAAGGGTTGCCATCTTTCCTCTCAGTATCCCCCCCCCCCTCGCCCCAGTACGTCCCAGTACGCAGTGGACCTCTGTCTGCAGCGAAACTCTGCTGTACTCAGTCCTTTGACACCCCATCCTTGGGCCTCTTCCCCAAACCCCACTCCCTCACAACCATCTTTTCTACCATGTTCATCATAGGATGCTTCCAATCTTTTGTGAATTTTTTTATTATAAGAAAAATCTATTTGTATCTATCCTAACCAGTTTGGGGATATATTAAGATATTTTTGTACATAAGAGAGAAAGAGAAAAAAAATTTATAGAGTTTTGTACAAATGGTTTAAAAATGTGTATATCTTGAAACTTTAACATGTAATGCTATTACCTCTGCCTATGTTAGATGTGTAGTTCACCTTGCAACTGCCATTTTCCCCTGTGTGGTTTTTGTCCAGACCTCTCCTCCCAGGGGAGGTCAAAAGGCCACCGGATCTACTTAAAGCACCAATGTGTCTTACTTTAGAGGAACTTTGTTAATGTATTAATGATGTGATGAAATACTGTTCCAGAACAAAGTTTATGCAGCTACTGTCCAAACGCAACGTGGCAGCCAGTGCTTTTGAAAAAAAAAAAAAAAGGTTGCCTTTTGGGAAAATTTCTATCACTGCCTTTTTTTCCTTACTGTTTTATTACAAACTTACAAAAAAAAAATCCACCTGTATAACCCTGTTTTATACAAACTAGTTTCGTAATAAAACGTTTTTTCTTTCTTTCTTCTTCTTCTTCTTTTTTTTTTTTTTTTTACAAATGAAAAAAGTTTTCTTTGGCTCTACTGCCCTGACCAAGCTATTGGAACCCCAAAGGGAAGGGGTGGGGGGAGGAGGAGAGGGTGGTGCAGAGCAGGCTGCCTGGCAGACATGGCAAGGCAAAGATAACTGCTACCTGCAGTCCCTCCTGAGGTGTCTCTGTGATGAAGGCAGAAGAAAAAAAATTAATAGATAAAAAGGGGTTTCTTCCCATTTTATGTTGCAGATGGATGCATACACCCAGAGAATACATGGTGATGGATGATTGCATTGTCTTCTGTTAAGATGATTTACATTATAAAAAAATGCCTCCAAAAAGTGAAGTGGAAAGAAAGGGTCCTCTCCCCACTTTTTAACCCTTAATCAACCGTGTTCGGAGGTCCTGATTGTGCAACTGTGGGAGGGCTGGATGAGATCATAGATGACCTGGGTGGGAGGGAGGATAGTGCCACTAAGTCCCTTGGGTGGGTGCGCTGTTATTCCTTCACTTACAGGTGCACATTTTCCACTTCTTTACCCCAGGATGCACACAGTCCCATCCCGGTTTTAAGTCAAGGGCATGTGTGATATGAATTCCTTGCGGAAGGAATGACATCCATCGAAAGAAAATCAAAGCCTTAGAAATGTTGTGGGCATTTTTTTTTTTTTTTGAGACCCCGGGCCTATCTAAGCTGGCGACTCTACCCGAATAGCGTGAGCTGCGTGTAAAAGTACCCAATTACCAAGATTCAAAAAGAAATGAGTGGGGTTTTTGGCTGGCTCGCTTCTTGTCAGTTAGCAGGGACGTGACCGGAATCCCACTCCGCCTCTCGCCGGCGCCGCGCTCCCCTCCTGCGTTACTTGCGCATTCAGTGTGCGTGTCTCCAGCCGAGCGGAAAGCGGAGCGCAAAATGCGTCTTACAAAACCCAACAAAGAGCCAAGAGCCGGCGCGTCTTCCAGAGTTAAAAATCTAGTCTGTGTTGGTACATCTATACCGTTTAGTGGCACGGAATAATCATTTTTTTTAAGCTGCGATGCGCGGAGCGCGCCGCGGCGTCTGATGTCATTTTGCTAAATGACCCTCCATAGAAGGCGCAGGCTCCGGCCCCTTTCAAAGAGATGAGCACAATTAAGGGGGGGGGGGGGATCAGTAAATTCCTCATCGCCATAAATAATCGGACTTTCTGCCAGCAGTGGGCCAATTTAGAGCTTACTTGAGGGAAGTAAATGCTTTTGTGATGCTCGCTTTTATTTTTATCTTCTCCTTTGGAAGCACCAGAGCTGGACTCCCCGCCTCCCTCTCCCCAACCCTCCCATTTCTTTTTCTTTTAACTTAGCTCCTTTGCAACTTTTCAGATAAGGTAGGCAAAAGAAAGTGTAGCGAGTCGTTTATTGCTATGAATATAAAACATTGGGATAATGTTTCAGCCCCCACAGAGGGGGTCTTCCCCCCCCCCCTTCACGTCTTCTGAAGACAGGTGTTCTTTTACTCACTTCTGAATGGGAAACAGCCAGTCTCGTTAAACTTGAGGCAAAGTTAGCCCTTGTTTGCCACAATGCAAAGGCAAACTAAAAAAAAATAAAAAAATAAAAAATAAAAAAATGCACAACCCCCTTATCCCCTCCCCCCCCCCCACACACACACAATTTTGCCGAAGCTAGGAAAGGGCAAAGCAGAGATTGGGCAAAATCTCATTACATCTGCTCTAATCGCTTAGCAACACAAAGCCTGGGCTTGTGCGGGGAAGGGAAGCCATTCAGGGCGCTGTGACAGGCCGCATTCAGCGGCATTAGTCAGCCCCATAAATCACCGCTGCCCATTGGCTGCGCGGCGCGCTTTGGAGCGGGCTGGGGCTGTCAGTGAAATACAAAATGTAGACCCTCGCCTCTGGTAGCAATCGCGGCCTCCCCTTGGTCCTAACCCCCCCAAGCCAGGGTCTTTGGAGGGAGGTGTTGGGAAGAAAACTTGCCTTGACTTCATAGACTGAGAAATCTTACCTATTCAACCCATGACCCAAGGACCCCCCCCCCCCCCCAGTGAAGAGTGGAGACACGCCTAAAATTGATGAGGAGGAGCAGGGAGTGCAGGGAGAAAAAGAATAAACAGACCGCAGGACTGTTGAATGCGAGTATTATCAGAGGCTGGGCTGGAGCGAGTGGGACACCCAGTTCACCTCCCTGACAAAGCGTTGAATATTTTTAAATATATATTTCTATTGACTTTTTACAGAAAGGAAGGGAGGATAGAGAGCTAGAAACATCGATGAGAGAGAAACATCAACCAGCTGCCTCCTGCAAACCCCCCTCCAGGGATGTGCCTGCAGCCAATGTACATGCTCTAGACCAGAATTGAACTTAGGACCTTTCAGTCCCCAGACCAAAGCTCTAACCACTGAGCCAAATCGATTTTGGCTTGAATATATATATTTTTTTCTTTTTGGAAGGAAGAGGGTGTGTGTGTGGAGAAGAATCTATCTCCCATCAGGCTGGGCCATGGAAGAAGAGAGAGAGAAAAAAAATGGGTCTGCTTTCTGCAAAAGGCATCAAAGGAATGGGACGGAGGTGTAGTAAGAGAGAGTAGAATGTGCTTTTCCACTTTGCTGTCCCTTCTGGGCCAGGGATGAGAACACAGAATCAACAGCCCAATTCCTTCTGAGCATCAGGATTCTTGTGTGTAACATTGGCTTGATGGTCCCCATAGCAGGGAGAGGGAGCAATGTAAAGGAGTTAGCACTTGGCCTGGGTGGGTGAGGGTGGTGACAAGGTTACCAAATAAATGTAAATACAAGTGCCTGTTATTACTTTTATCTCCTGTCCCCTCTCTATTCGTGGGGACTGTCCAGTTGCTGCCTCTAAATCACACACTAGCTTTGAGGCTTACCCACCAGCCACCACATAGTAGATGTGGAGTCCAGGTAGGCTTTCCTGGGAAGCCCAGGTCAACTTCCTGCAAATGTCATCTCCTCCAGGAAGCTTCCTCTGTCTGCTCTGTCTAAAGCAATGCTCACAGCCACTGTCCATCCACTATGGTGTTTCTCTTTCTTGGCATTTACCGCTATCTGGGGGGAAAAATGCATGCATGTTGGTTTATACAATTGCTGTCACTGGCCACTTACCAAATGGTCCCCTACATGAGGACAAGGACCTTACCTGTCTTGTTCACTGGTGTCTCCCAGCCCCAGAAGAAATAGGCATTTGTTGATTGAATGGATGATGGTCTGCTCTGTTGCATTGATAGCTTCGTTCCCTGTTCTTTCCTTCTCTCTATTCACTTTCTGCCCTCTCTGCTCTGTTCTGTGTCTCCAGAGGCGGATCTCTATGCATTCCATTGTTAGGCCTCCCTAGCCCTCTGGCTTCCTGTTGGGTTTGTC